ATGTTTTAATTTTTTAATAATTCATACAAATGCGTAACGACTCCCAAAATATATTGTTGAATTTTGTCATGAATGTAATAAAAGTAACATATTTAAAGGCTAGCTTGAATCCATTGGCGTCAGAAGCATTTGTAATGTGGAAGAGACACATTGATGGGGGGTCTGGGGGTCCTCCCTCAGAAAATATGAATAAAGTAGATGCCATTTTCTGCATTCTGGTGTACTTTAACAGGTCGTTAAACATCTATGTTTACCTACATTTGTAAACACTTGATTCTATAACTATTTTAGAGAACATGGCACAACAAGAAGAATCAGTCTGACCAACAGCTCTCCTTGTTTGAATAGAGCACACCCTTGTGACACAGCACTAAGCTAGTGGTGCACAATACAGATGCGCCAGCTAAAACGCTACAGATGTAGCGCTCCGCTTCTCTCATGCATCCTGCCCCACCACCCCGTTCAACAACTGCTGGCACAAACGTAGCCCTAAGCTAGCACGCAACAAAATTAATATTTTCTAAATTTGAGTAAACATTCCCTTCACATTTAATAGTTGCGACACCTACGATTGAATCTTAACACACCTGTATTAGCTGTGCTCTGTTCTTCTTGACTGAATGACTCTATCAGCCGGTTTAGGTGGAGAGTGTCAGTGCAGAACTGTTTTCTGATCCTTACAAAGACACTCTGACGGCTTCAGGTCCGATAACTCGATAACTTCAGGAATTCTACTAGATTTAAACAAAAGTGTAAAGATGTGTCCTCTCCTCCTGAGCCTCAACACTGAAGTTGTTTCGCTTCATCCCAATGAATGTCCCAGATCAGATCCGACGAGCTGTTTATCCTAGAAAAAACTGAAGCACCCATTGTTCGTGACTGTTTTATATTTAATTTTATGTTTCACATCATGTGTAACACTGAAGAACTATTATTGGTATACAACATAAATCATCATGCTTTAACGCAGTGAGACTGACAGGCTGCTCAGCAAACAGAATCAGTTCAGACACTTCAGTATTTCTGCAACATAAACTCTGATTTTAGTGATGCATGGAACTGAAACACTTTATAAAATCTGCAGGTATAAATGTGTAAGTTTACATGAAATTCAAATTGTTCGACACAATAAAACATGTTCACAATGCTCTGAGACATGTCACCTGATTTTCCTTAAAGTTATAGAGCTCCTTTATTGAAAATAAAACACTGAAATATGCAGAACTTTGTTTTTACATTATGTTTAAATGCTCCTTTTTGCAAGTTTTGGAGGCCATGTAGACCATGTAGTCTCCTGGTTTAATCTGCCAGGATCTTACAGGAAAATAGAAAATATTCATGTAATAATAATAATGCAGAATTCTAGTGGGATTCCATGTTTGGCTTCACTAGGGTGAGGTTAGGCACGTGGTTTACAACGTACATGCTGTTGAAAACCACAGACTTGAATATCACCACACCAGGGTGTGGTGTAACATTTGGCACCAGTTTCTGCTTCTCTATTCTCTTGTCTTTGTCTGGGAAAAGGAAGTGATAAAATGTTAAACTGGATCCAGAAATTGACAGGAAGTGAGGATAAAGAGGTAAATACAGGGGTGATCACATCATTTATTTCCTCTCAGAAGGCTGACGACTACATTTTGGACAACCTGCAGGTATCCAAGTGAAGAACCAGCATAAAACGATGTCACAGTCATCCAACTGTTGTCATGAAGGCCTGACTAATTGTCTTAAAGTCATCTAATAAAATGCGAGTTAGAACATTTCTGCTGCAGCGGCAGGAGGTTTAGGACCCAGGAATGCAGACGTGACACAAGAAGTTCCATCCATCATCTTTTACCCGCTTCTTCCATTTTGAGTCACGGGGGTCGCCAGTGCCCATGTCCAGCAATCACTGTGCGAGGGGCGGGGGACACCCTGGACGGGTCGCAAGTCCATCACAGGGACACATAGAGACAAACGAGACAAACAACCATTCACTCTCTAACACACCTAGGGACAATTTAGAGTTACCAATCAGTCTAACATGCATGTTTTTGGCCTGTGGGAGGAAACCGGAGTACCTGGAGAAAACCCACGCATGCACGGAGAGAACATGCAAACTCCACCCATAAAGGCCCCTGGACCGGGATTTGAACCAAGGACCTGCTCGCTGAGAGGCAGCAGCTCTACCAGTTGTGCCACCGTGCTGCCCACAAAAAGTTCCATTAAACTAAAAACTAAATAATTAGAAACAAACGCTGACGATAGGCCTGTCGCAATAAACAATAAATCATAATAAAGCATGATAAATGAAAATTATCGACCTCATTTTCATTTATCGGCTTTATCGTTTCTTCGTGTCTCTCTCTTTTTACTGACGATACGGCTCAACTCCGGTGCTCTTCACTGACCCCTCACTTTCTCTTTTAAATCTGTTTTAACTGTCTAAAACTGTGTTTTTTGATCGTTAAAACAGCTAAGCTGAGAAGCTAAGCTATGGGCTAAGCTAACAGGACGATCTCGGGGGAAAAAAAAACCTCCATCTTGTCAAAGAAACAAAATGCACGGTTGAAACCCTTGTGTTCGTATAAAAAGTTGTTTTTCTCTGCAAAATGAAGCTGAGAACTTATTTACTGATTTTTTTAATTAAACGGTTTGTGTGAAAAATGCTATGCTAAAGAGCTCAAACCACACCGAGCGCCCGCCATTTTGAGAACCGAAAAACAGAAAGGAGAGACAGCCCATGTAACGTCAAGGGGCCTCCCTCCCATTTTTCTTAAAGAGACACACTGCTCGCTCCCACACTATCCATCCTTCAGTTCAAACAGTCTTATACTGTCATCTTGTGGTCGAAAAAAAGGTACTGCATACAAAAATTAACCAACATTTCTTCGTAAATTTAACAATGACAAATTATTGTCAAATTTCTAACAATATTATTGTTTATCGCAATAATTTCTGAGACAATTAATCGCCCAGCAAAATTTGTTATCGTGACAGGCCTAGCTGACGGTGCTCCATCAGAAACAGACCTGGAGGGACCTGGACACGTCATCTAAAATGTTTAATGCTCCACTGCTAGATGAACACACACGAGTAATATGCAGACCAAGACTGATTAATATAATTACAAACACCTGGACTGATGACCAACGGGAGCATCTGAGAGTGGGCAGGGCAGGAGCAGGACAGACAGAGAAAGATGGCACTGAGGAAACACAGTTTGATCAGGATGAACAAAACAAGCAACAGAGCTTCAGCAAATTAATCCCAAAACACAGAAAGTAAAGCACAACAACTAGAGGAGGAATAAACCCTAAACATTTAACCCTAAGAGCATAAACCTCCTAAGACACCACAGAGCCAGCAGAAAGTAATCAAAAGACACAGATCCTGACAATTACAGCTTAAGACTTGGCTTTGAAAAGCTCCTTTTCACAACAGAACCATCCTACATCTTTCTATTTAAAGGCTTGGTCACAAAATGCATAATGGTTCCAAAAAACCTACTAATAAGACGAGTTTAAAACCTTTTCTTTAGATTATTCAGATAAAACAACATTTTGTTCTGGTTAAAGAAGTGTATCTTGATCAATTTAATGAGACGGGATTTCATACACGGAGCCTCCTTTTCAACTCATTTGGGATTTGGTGCTGTAGTTGAGGTATATGAGCCATTGAGATGTTAGTCAGCTGCTCCAGGTTGTATAAAAACACCATGTTGCCATGGTTACACATCATAACAAATGCCCCAAAGTAAAAAGGTTTCAATAAAATTCCTTCCAGCTGCACAGCATCCGATACCAGAGGAAACAACCTGGTTTTTCAGGTCTCTCTTGTAAATGAGTCTCCGATGCTCAAAAGGTTGAATAAATATTTAATAAAAAATATAAAAATAAAAACTTTAAAGAGGCTCATCTGGATGTATTAAAGCAGACTTTACGCTGTCAGGATGTGAATTTAATTAGCAGAATATAGGTTTATCCAATAGGAAAAACGTCCATTTACCAATAAACTTTATTGCCAAATGAAACATTACCTGTATAGAGACAAAATAGTTTAACTTCACAGCCTGTACATCAGAACATCTTCAGTTGATTCCTGTGATTGACCTTCAAAGCTGTGACTGATGCACAATCTCCCAAATCGAAGCGCAGATTGCAGTTTAATTATCTTTATTGTCTTGCTGTGTCATCGCTGAGAGGACAGCATCTCCTCCGGTCAGCTGCAGGTGGTCAGCAATTAGCCCGTCTGCTCTGCAGCTTCCCTCCACTCTGCCACTGTGGGAGTGTTTTGGTCACGTCCCGTGGCTGTGCTGAAATAAGCTGCTTTCTCCCATGCTTCTCCTGCATGTAAGCTGCATTTAGAATAATTAGAGGATGCTAAGCTTTGTAATACCTCAGCGCTGGAATATCGGAGCTCAAACAGGAAACAAAAGTCAGTGGATTCTGTTTTACAAAGTGTGAATAAAAATAATCTGCCGTTACGTTGCAGTTTGTTGTAAATGGCTTGTATGCACCTTTTAGGAGCCATTTTGAATTGGGCTTGATTTAGTCTCTTTGTCACCTTGTTGGTCCAGGAACGTGAGCTGAGCAAGAAGAGGAAAGAATGTGAAGATCTAGAGCATGAAGTAAAGAAGCGACAGAAGCGATGTCTGGTTTTAGTAAGCACTCTGATACTCCTTTCTTTTCCATATTTGCTTCTTCTTTTATATGTTAACAGCTGAAGAGATGTGAGTGTGTAGACCGAGTTTATTGTGTTTGACAGGAGAGCCAGCTTGAGGATGAGCGAGGCAAAAATGAGCAGCTAAAGGAGGAGGCAGAACTCCTCAGGAGGAAGGCACAGCTGCTCGACCAGGTCACATTTGACATTTTGTTCCTCATCGATGTGGTCATATTTTAATAGCTAGCTTAGTGTTGATCCGGTCAGTGAACCTGCTTGTTGTCTCTCAGACTCGGGCTGAGAATGAGGAGCTGAGGGAAGATCTCTCTGAAGTGACCGCTCAACACAATTCAGTTCTCGAGGAGAACCAGAGACTCCGTGCCAAACTGGAGAACCTAGAGCAGGTCCTAAAGGTACTGCACCAGTCCAATATTTCTCTCGTTTCCCATGACTCCCATTTTTTCTGACTTTTTATTGTATTTTTGTTTGAACAGCACATGCGAGAGGTCGCCGAGCGAAGGCAGCAGCTGGAATTGGAACATGAGCAGGCACTGGCTATCCTTAAGTTCAAACAGGATGAAATCAAACGTTTGCAGCGGGTAAAAACATTTCAAATAAAACTTTTGACATTTTGACTGGTTATTTTCTTGCTAAACCGGTAACTGGTCTGCAAAGTTCCCTATAATGAAGGCAATTAATGAGGGCCGTTGTCCAGCAGGAGGCACCAGTGAAGCTATGTCAGCAAAGCTTGCCCTGCTGGAAGTTAATTTTACATTTTAATGACTTTTTCATATCCTTTATTTTTATTAGGCCCAGTTATTTGCCAAGAGGGAGCATGAAGGGGTGGTTCAGATGCTGGAGGTGAGTTTGTGTAGCATTACCAGGACATAAAAACACAAAGAATTACATTGTTTTTCAAATGTAACCCTTTTTGAAAATCCCTGGTCCTTCCAAAACATTTGGATTAAAAAAATATTGTTTGTTAAAATCACACAAAACAGGAGCAGATTCTGTTAGAGAGAAGAGACTTTCTTGATGTTTATCAGCTCAACTAAAATGAGCTGAAATCTGATCCATCATTGGTGGTATCTGGGTCTCCTCAGCACCAAGCAGTGTGAACATTAAACTGTTTTTATGTTTTTATTTTGTACTATCAGTGGGGAAGCTGCTTGTTTTTTTTTAAAATACTAGCAAGCCGGGAAAAGCAAGCAGATGGCTTCTCTGTTGCTCTGCGACACTTTGTCTGAAAATGACTCCAGTTGACATTTGGACACATTGTGTGCCTGATTGGCTGCTAATTTTGAGTTCTTAAAATATATATCAAAAACACTTTGGTATTTTCAGAAAATCTGCCAATAGATCATTCCTCTGAGCTGATGACCTTCTGTCATCAGTGCTCCTCGTATCTCATGGTGTGCTTTGTTAAGGCGTGTGTGTTTTATTTTAGGACCTGACTCAGCTTGTGTTGCAGAGGGAGCTGGTAGAGTATAGCTGCTCCTTTTTTAAAAATGAAAAACGGCCCGTTTCCTTCCTCTTCATTTCTCTCACTTTCTGTCTCTCTGTGTTAAACTTGAAGCATCACAGGAGAAAGTCTCTTTGCCCGTGGAGAGCCTGGGCTCTGCTGCCAGCATTTTTCAGACAGAACTTTAAAATCATTATTCAGGGTGTGCGTGCTTATTTGCATCACAGATGCTGGCTGCTGAGGGCTCAGAGACATTCTACTGATTCTGCTTTCTGATCTGGACTCAATCAGCTGTTTTTCTAATACAGTAATCCCTCGCTACTTCGCGGTTCGTTTTTCGCGGACTCGCTCTATCACGGTTTTGCAAAACAAGATTGCACGTGACGCACAATTGGCCGATTGATGGATGAGCCGCACAATTGGCATGGCTATTTTTATTAAAAATAAATTGTTTTAAATTATTTAGCACCTCCTGCACCTGGGTACAGCCTATACTGCAGGAGAAACTTCCTTCAGCTAATCAGCTGATCTCCGTGCAGAACGGAGAAATGGGCGTGGCCAAGAGTTCTTGCAGGTGGCTGTGAGGAAGCTGAAATCATGACATTCTGTGTCTTTTAGAGCGTTTAGAGTTTAGAAACATTGTTTAGAATATTGCAAGAGTGTGGGAAGGGTTTAAAACGCCTTTATATATAAATTAACAAAATAAATTACTACTTACTACTTGTACTACTATTCCTACTTCACGGTTTTTCATTTATCGCGAGGCTTCAGGGTATGGGCGGCTGTGGCTGAGTGGTTAGAGCAGTCGTCCTCCAATGCGAGAGTTGGGGGTTCGAATCACCAGCGGTCACATGCTGAAGTGTCCCTGGGCAAGGCACTGAACTCCTCATAGCCTCCGATGTGTCCCATCGGTGTATGAATGTGATAAATCACTGATTAGTCTCTTTAGAATGATTTGTTCAATTATCTTTGTAGAGATCTAGTAGAGTGATGTATGAATGGGTAAATGAGGCACAGATTGTGGCGTAAAGAGCTTTGAGTATCTTGAAATAAGAAGAAAGGCGCTGTATAAGTACAGTCCATTTACCATTTACCATTTATGGATCCCCCGCAATAAACGAGGGACTGCTGTACATGATTTGCTTTTCCTAAAATGTATTTTTTCACAAGCATGTGTTTGTTTTTGTGCTGCCTTCTGCTAACCAGAGTACACTGGACTGCATGCAGGTACTTTATGACCTCCTTTAACAAATCATTTCCCACCCAGACACCAAACCCCCCTCATATCACTGAGCTGCTTTGATTTCATCCCTTCACACATTTGTTTTGTACTCGTGGATGTATTTACTTGTAGGAGTTACAAGCCCTGTTGTATAGTGTAAAAAGTGTCCGGTTACCAAAGTATTTTTAAAGCAGGCCATTAACCTGAGGCCATAAAGAGATCTGTGACACAGTTATCTCTTCCATCTCTCTGAGAACATTTACATTTCTGCTCATTTTGATTTGAGTGCACAGCAAAGTCAGTTAGCTGTTTGTCAGTGTTTGCATTTAAACGATCATTCCGTCAGTGTTTTTAGATAACTACTGGTGCTCCTTATAGCTGAGAGATGACAGGAAACGTTCAGTTTCTTGCAGCGGCTTCAGTCAAACCTGCCTGCTAGAAAACTCCCACCACAGGAAGTGAGATCAGCCACGTATAGAAACTCGAGCAGAGCTGTGCACCCACGTGTGCAGTGCTCTGGCAAATAAATGTGTTATTTAGCGGCTCTGTCAGGGTGAGTGGAAGCAGAAGCAACACATTTCAGAAGATTCCTGACAAATACTTCAGCTCCTCTTTTCCATCAGAGCAGAAAATTCTCCCACTCTTTTTGTTTTTATGTCATTTCTTTCTTTTGTTTGCTGATCCTTGAGTTATGCGTTTACGACACATAACATATGCTTGTGATCGACATGAACTTGTCTGTCCCTCAGAAACCTCACTTTTTGTTTATCTGCTAAAACTATTGTTAAATGTATTGATTGATTAATTTCAGAGATCAACTTTTGAAAGTTTTTAATCTAAATGGTTTCTGCAAGACACTGACATTTATGAAAACAGCTATGTTTGCAAACTCTTACGGTGTTTAATGCCTCACATGACTGAGTTAAGGGAAATTCCACCTTAAAACATCTACAGTGGCTTCAGAAAGTTTTCACGCCCTGTTCACTTTTTGCAGTTTTGTTGTGTTGCAGTTCGATGCTGCAGTTGTTGTCCCTCCGTCATGGAGCAAAGAGGGGAATTGGAAATACCCTCTGTCCGTCCGTCCATGCATGTTGTGAGCATGGTAACCTGAAAAATAAACGAGGAACCAACTTCCATTTTGGTGTGCGGCTACGTCTAGGTATGAGAAAGGTCAGGGTCGTTATGTCAAAATCCAATATGGTCACCAACATGCACATATGTAAACTGAACACCTCGATCATTTGAGGGAACTATGCTTTCTAGTTTTTATAGTGCTTAAAAGTATAGTTTCCTCAAATGACTGGGGTGGCCAAAGACATCTATAGTGGCCAAGGCCCCCATTGGCCACCCCCTGGCTCCACCTTTGTACCTGGTGGTGAACAATGTTACTTCCTCCACTTGCCAGGATCTGTCACTCTGCACAGCCTCAGACAAGAAAAACAAAATCTTTTATGAACAACATGAAGGTTTACTTGTTGTTTTAACCTGTTCAGTTCCAGTCCAGAAAAACACTCATCTCTAAAACTATAAACATTCACTATTCAAGTCCCTCAGCGATGGGGTGTAACGTGTTTATTTCTCTGTTCCTCTTCAACCTACACTCAGTGTTTTGTAATGACAAAGTGAAAGCACACCTGAAATATCACATTTATACCAGTAATCGGACCTGTTACATAAGGATGACTTGAAACACTTATTGCAGCAATTTAACCTCCTGAGTTTTTATTTTTATTTTTTTTTTAGTTTGCAGGAACAAGATTTGCACACCTGGATTGTTAACCATTCCTTTTTGGAAATCATTTTAAGACGAGTCCCTTTGGATAGAGACCATCTGTAGACGGCCTTCTTCAGGTCTTTCCAGGAAGTTAGGGCTCTGACATGGAGTTGCCCCAAGTCTCTCTAGTGTTGTCGTTTTTGTGCGTTTTAGTCATTATATTTGGAACTCTGGCCAATCTTGTAGTTCCTGTTGTTAAACTCTACAGCGTCACGCAGCCACCTCCAGACTGTCTAAAGTTCATCTTGGTATCATCAGACCAGGAAATCTTTTTCCTCACAGTCTGAGTCCTTTAGGTAGGTTTCGAGAGCCTTTTGTTAAACGCCTCCGCTCTGAAACACAGATTGCAACTCCCTTGGCATCACGGATGAATTTAGCTCTGAACATTTGCTTGGAGGCTTTTTACAGAGAGATGTTTGCCTTTCCAAATGTAAAAAACATCTCTGAAGTAGTCTATTAATACAGGAGTCTGTTGAACTAAATGTTAGGTGTTGTATCAAAAAGTCTGAATACTAATGCAAATTTCAGATGTTCCTTTTGGTAAATAAAAAAATGTATGAAATTCTGTATTTACTTTGTCGTAATGGAGTACTGACTATAGATTATTGACAAAAATAACAAAATAAAATTATTTTATTAAGTGCTGCAACAAAACATTGCAAAAAGGTAAATGTGGTCTGACTACTTTCTGAAGCATTTCACAATTCACACTGTATTTAATTAGCTAATGCAAAACTAATCTTACTGTACTGTGTATTTATAAAAGTCACAAAGGAGACATAAGGTACAGAACGTCTCTACACGTTCCCCACTGAACTCTGCCTGTCGTTACAAGAGGATTGGTTTGATCCAGATGTGTTAAAGGCTGGTTATTTCCAGTCAGTCTTTACTTTGGTTTTTCCCAACTGCATGTTCTCCTCGTTGCATGTAGTCAAAGGTACGAGACCTGGAGGAGAAAAGCCGCAGCCAGAGTGAACAGTTTAGCTTGCTGTCCCAAGAGCTGGAGAAGTTTCGCCTGCAGGCCTCCAAAGTGGACCTGGCCAGCTCGAGCCTCCTCAGCAATCCCAGCCTGTCTGTTCTGGCCAACGGGGTGGGGCTGACTACAGAGCAAGGTGAGCTTGACCCCCCCCCCCCCAATAAAAATAAATAAATAAAAAATTTATGATAACAGCATATTAGCGTAGTTTTTTTTTTTAATATAACACCCTTTGTGAATGCAGGATTTGAAGTACTGACACTTGTAGGAAGTAAAAGCCTTTAAAAAGTCAAATAAATAATAAACCTCTGTATTGTCTTAGTTTAAAAACAGAAAATTAAGTCATCCATGTTTTAGTTTCTCCAAGACGAGCTTAGCAGTTAATTGGACTCATGAGGTTTCATGAATAAATAGAACGTAGTATCATCAACAATAACATTTTCTCTTGTACTGTCATGTTTTAGACATTGTGCATTGAATGGGAAGGAGTAGGGATGTAATGGTTTGTGCATGTCTCCCAAACTGTCCCATTACTGACATCAGAGTTCATGTGTGCAGTCAGATAAATATTGTTTTAGTAGGCGGTGATCACCACTCATCTAGAAGAGGGCAGACGTTTTTTAAAGTTATTTTATTGTAATTTTTTTATTGTTTTTTTTTTTTAATTGAGATCTGTTTTTCTTCTGTACATTTTTTTAGCCTCATTTCACAATTTTTGTCTTTTCAACAATTCATAAATGAAAACGTTCGGCTCATTCAGGACCTTCCTGCTGTGACTTTTTGTAACTGAAATCTTTATTTTTGAAATATTTAGCTGTTTCAGCCATGTTTTCCTCGTTGAAAATAAATGGAGCTCTCTTCACGTCCGTCCTTGTTCTGTTTAAACTTTTACTGCTCGTTTTTCCTTCCGTTCTGGCTCTACTTTTTTCAGCTTGTTTATTTTCAGCTTCCTTCAGATTCGTTTAGATTTTTCCTGCTCCTTTTCAGCCTCTTTCGACTAATTTCTTCTATTTTTGCACTTTTTCCGCTGTCAGTACTTTCAGCTCATTCTTGCTGCTTGTGCTTTTTTTTTTGTAATTTCAGCTTTTTGTTTTCTTTTCACTTTTTTAATGCTAATTTCATTATTTTTCATCTACTTTCAGCTACGTTTTGCCAATTTTAGCTTTTTTTGTGCTCCTTTCAGTTTCTTCTTTCTATTTTTCAGCTTTTATTTTTCATGTAAGCTTTAGCTTGTTCAGCAGTTTTCAGCAAAATCAGCAAGAAGTATCCATGCTGCATTTTTGCACCAAATTCATTCATTCAACCTTTATTTAAACAGGTTAGTCTCATTGAGCCAAATGCAATTTGTCTAGTTAAGTTTTTTATTGGGTCCTGCTTTTCTTTACAAGATGTCTACCTTAAAATCTCCACACTTAACACTTGTGGTTTGTTTTTCAGTTTCTGCTTCTGGGAGAATAGTTTTTTGTTTAAAATAGGGTTAACAAAATTGCTAGTGTTGGTATTTTGTATCTTTTGTTTGGTTTACTGAACTGTTATCAAACCTTGATGCCAACATTGTGGCATGTACTGGACTGGTTGGTGTACTTATACCTCAGTAACAAGACTTTCAACCTTTATTTAAACAGGTTAATCCCAATGAGCCTCGGGGACTCATTTACAAGACGATCATAAATGAGGCATACAGATTTATTTTTTATTGTTTTTGAGTCAATGATGAATATTGTTATGTCAGTTTTTATCAGAATCAGAATAAGCTTTATTATCATTGCACCAAGATACAACGATAATATGTCCATACAGTCGTCCGAAAAATGGGCCGAGTGCACGTACTGTAGCTGCTGCTATAAAGCGCGGCCTTCTTATCCTTTTCAGAATACATTTTTAGATAGAAAAAGGGACAAAGCCATGAGGAGAGGATCGTGGCATTACAAAAAAAAAAAAGATCTTCACACCTTTTCCTAACAGGACGTGATTTAAGACATCAAAAAACTCTGCTTGCAAGCACATTTATGAACACGTTACATATGCATTTTTTTATCTTTTGACTATCAAAAAGGTTCTAGAAGACAGTATTATTAAAATTACATTACAAGAAAAAAGTCATAAAATTACGAGAATAAAGTCATAATATTGCGAGAATAAAGTCGTACGAGAATAAAGTTGAAATATTACGAGAATAAAATTGTAGTATTATGAGAATAAAGTCATAGTATTATGAGAGTAAAGTCATAATATTACGAGAATAAAGTCATATGAGAATAAAGTTGAAATATTACGAGAATAAAATTGTAGTATTATGAGAATAAAGTCATAATATCATGAGAATAAAGTTGTAATAATTCTTGAATAAAGTTATAATATTATGAGAATAAAGTCATAGTATTACGAGAATAAACTCGTAATACATCCTGGGTCAGCTTGCACCTGCTATGGACTGCCTCCAATGCGTTCCCTGTGTTTATGAGATAGTCTGTGATCACTTTTGGATCACTGTTTGTGAAATATGCCTCCATCCACATTATGTGATGACTAAATCCGTCAATGCAGTCATTCATTGTGATGCCATACGGTTTCAGTTTATCAAAATAATCCATAGGTACAGTGCATTGGGCTCCCTGCTATTGTACTGCCGACGTCAACATCATCATTTTACTGCAGTTGTAAGACTGCTTTTACGTGCCGGAGTTCTGATAATATTTCAACTTTATTCTTGTAATGTTATGAGTTTATTCTCATAATACTATGACTTTATTCTCATATTATTTTGACTTTATTCTCATATTATTTTGACTTTATTCTCATAATATTACAACTTTATTATCATAATACTACAACTTTATTGTCGTATGACTTTATTCTCGTTCATAATGTAAATTTCTTTTCTTCATAGCGTGGCCCTAATACGCCGTCGAACGGTTCAGATCATCCTAATCTCTTTTTATGTGTGTATAATAAGCAATATTTATAGAACACTCGTTTTCAATGAATCCCAGCTACGATTGTCTTAAAAACGTAACGACAATGTAAATCTACTCCAAACCTTTCATCTCCCTTTATCCTACTTTCCTCCTGCGCTCTTCATGTGTTGTAGACTGCACTGATGGTACTTTGGATTTGGTGTCTCTGGGTGAGATAGCCTTCTGGAGTCTCGAGGGAGGTGACACTCTCTCCTGCCCTGAGGGTAATGATCCGATTGGTTTGCTCTCTCTCTGTTAATCATACTATGTGTTGGTCACTGTGACATAAGCACGGCATGTTCCGACCCATCATCTCACCTCCACTGTCATCGTAAGAGTCCAACATTGAAGTCTGTAGACTTCATCCCACACGATGAGAGTCACAGAATGAAGTGCAGACTTCACTCCATGCCTGTGGAGTATAAAACCAGCTAAGCCCCTTAACGCTGTTGGTGTGACACAAGTTGACAAGTTAGTGTGACCTCTGACTTCAAACAGATGGCGAGGGGATTGTTTTCCCTCTCTCCCTCTACTGTTTAATCAGCCATATTCAACCTTGAGTCTAATGCATGTGAACCAGCAATCACTTCACAGGTCATGGACAGCCAGGTTAACCAGGGACAGGGCTCAGATGTAACCGTGAACATGAATTATCCTCTTCTCCCCTGCTAGATGTGGCCGCTGCACTGCGCTTGGGCTCCACCCCCCACGCTGCAGGACTCTCCAGGACGGAGCGCTCGCCTGTCACCAAACACCGAGAGCTGCCCACCATCAGTGTCAGCAAGTCTTCCTCCACCAAGTCAGAGACTACACACCTCACCCCCAAGTCTGACACCCATCTAAGTCCGCACAAATCAAGCCCGACACATGAGGTATTTATTTCCTCAATAAGGCTAAATGTGGTCATCAATATATAGTTGAGATTTTTGTGTAGGGTTTTGTTGAAAGGTTATAAATAAATCATATATTGCTTGTTGTAGATGCCTGTTTGAACCACTTCAGTTTGGATGAGCAGAGTTTAAATCTAACCACATTATTAAGATAACGGTTAGTCCAAGTGGGTCCAAGACCAACATGGATTACTGCTGTCCTAAAACAACTCCAGTCTCATAAACATCATAGCGGGTCACACAAATGCTATTCTGTAAACCTTTGCTCTTTTGCCAGTTTTGCATTACAGCTAATTTCAGCAAAACTATTAGTTTTCTGCTGGAATTGAAACCAGGCTGCACCAGAGGTGCTACAGCTAATTGCTTGTGCTGCTTTTTATGTTTGCAAAAACTCAGTTCTATACAAATTACTATAATGTGATATTGACAGCAATGTAAAGGTTTAAAAATGTGGAGCTTGCCTAAACTGCTATGGTCAAGCTATGCAGTGGTCTTGGGCTTAGCTTGGACAACCTGTTAGCTCAGAGTTTGGTCTTAATTAAACTTTTTTTTCCCTACAAACCGAGATTTTCAAATGTAGGTAATATATCTACTTGACTTAAACTCACTTAAATGAAATACTCATATTTAGTAATGTCCTCTTATTGGGGGTTTCCAACAAATACTGTAGGTTCCAGTCAGAGTTTGTTCAGCACCAGCTCTTTGAGTTTTCACCACCACAAGCTCTGGCTCTAACACTGGAAACCAGGCACCAACTCTGCCAGGCCAGAAAAAAGAGCCGCTTTTGTCCAGATCTGGATGCAGACTCATGTAGCACAGTAACCAATGAAAATGTTGTGGGTACCATGTTCACATTCACAAACAGAAACTGTTGTTTAGAGCAGAGTTTATTGAACAGATGGGTGACATTGTTGACAGACAATTTTGCAAGTAAACTAGAAAAATCCTGGAATTTGTGGAGATAAACCATCTCCCTGCACTGATCTTCTGCAGAAACTCCTAATACAACAAAAATTAGGATCAAATGATGTTTAATGTAACTTCATGATGCAGCTCTGAGTTTGCCTTCTTTGAAAAAACTAACTGGTTCTTAATTGTTTCTTTTTTTTAAGAACCCAGCTTTTGCACCAGCCCAGTGGCTCACTGCACAAAAGTAGGATCAAGGATTAAACTGGGATTTTTTTTGTTATCCTGGATGAATTAATCCTTGATTTGGTTGCACAAAAGAGGAGCCACATACACTACCTTGTCAAAAGTATTCGCTCACCTGCCTTGGCTCACATATGAGCTTAAGTGACATCCCATTCCTAATCCATAGGGTTCAATATGACGTTGGTCCACCCTTTGCAGCTAGAACAGCTTCAACTCTTCTGAGAAGGCAGTCCACAGGTTTAGGAGTGTGTTTATGGGGATTTTTTAGACCATTCTTCCAGAAGTGCATTTGTGAGGTCACATACTGATGAGAAGGCCTGGCTCTCAGTCTCCGCTCTAATTCATCCCAAAGGTGTTCTATCTGGTTGAGGTCAGGACTCTGTGCAGGCCAGCCAAGTTCATCCACACCAGACTCTGCATCCAGGTCTTTATGGACCTTGCTTTGTGCACCCGGTGCACAGTCATGTTGGAAGAGGAAGGGGCCAGCTCCAAACTGTTCCCACAAAGTTGAGAGCATGGAATTGTCCAAAATGTCTTGGT